GCTGGGCTTGGCGTTTTAAATGGCACAATAGACAGGGCATTCGCTTGGGTCCTGGGCATACGATTGAGTCTGAGCTCCACTGCTGACCAGCTGTGGGGTCTTGGGCAAGTCACTTCCCCTCTGTGAACCTCACCTTTCTGCTTTCCAAAATGGCAGTTGTTTTGAGGATTAAAGAAGATAAGAAATGTGCTGATGTGATGCCTGGCACTGATAAATGCTTACCCTGTGTCAGGCCTCTTTACTTTGCCCTTGTCAACATATATATCAATCTTGTCGTTCTCTTATTTAAAAACTTTTCAGGGTTCTCATTACCCACTGAGAAAGGCCTAAACTTTTTAACCTGGCATTCAAGCCCTTTTATGATCTGTCGGTCCGACCCACCTTTCTACCACATCTAACTCTTACACTTCATATTCATCCCATAGCAAAACCACACCATCCACCATCTCTGTGCCCTCAGTAGGCCTCAGGCACTCACTGCTCCACTCAGGATGCCTTCTTCGCATCTCTTAGAGTCTAGATCCAGTCTCGTGCAAGGTGCATCTTAAATGCCCTCAGACTGAAAAAGTCACCTCCTTGTCCAACTCTGTGTCTTTCTCATCACAGATACTCAAAGGCCTCTCTTCTCTTCTGCAAGGAGGTTTGCAGATGGACACCTTCTCATTGTGTCCTCACCTGGCCTTTTCTCTGTGCACATGCATCCCTGATATCCTTTCATAAGGACACCAGTCCTATTAGATTAAGGCCCCCCCATATGACCTCATTTAAACTTAATTACCTACTTAAAAGCCCTGTCTCCAATACATTGGGGGTTAGGGCTTCAATATATGAATCTGGTGGGGGTGGGGAGGGACACATAATTCCGTCAGTCAGTCAGTAACACATGGGTATAAAAATTCCGCCAGATCCTCTGAGGGAGTGTGTGTATGTTTGCGCTCGTGTGTGCGCACGCTCCCTGTGCACGGTCCCCTCTGTTGTGAGCTTTCTTCTTCCTTTCTGCCCTCAAGCAGAAAGCCCACAGAGCAGCAGGTTACTGTGTTGCTCCCCTGGGGGAGCCCAGCTGGGCTGGCCCTGTGAGCTGCCCCCACGTGATCCCACCCCTCAAAGACTCTGCTTCTGCCCCCACTAGGAGGGCTCCCAGAGACACGCTGTCTCCCCCAGCAGTTCCATCACAGCCCCCTCCATGCCTCCAGCTGCCAGTGAAGGGGAACAGGAGAGAGTGAACCACAGCAGGGAAGGGAAGGAATTAGGAGATGAGAACAGGAGGGTGACATTTTTGTTTTAAAAGAAAGAAATGAAGCCTTTCCTTTTACTTCTCTGTTAAACATTGTCCACAGAGGTGGTTTTTCTTCCTCCAAATTTCTCCAGGTCCCCAATTCTGACAGCCACTGAGGAACCCTTTAGCTCTACGAGTCTGGACAGTTGATAAGTGATGTGGGAGAATGCAGCCTAATTGGGCCCTTCGTTAACCCACCCCTGACTTACAGAGGGGAGGCTGTTCGGTTACAAATAGTTTCTATTCTGCTCAATCAGAGGCTCCTCATGCCATCATCTGCCTGCAAATTAGCTGGAGGCACAAGCTTTGCATTATGCAAAGTATTTATTCTCACAATTAATATGCTGTAAAAGTGTGGTTTCACGCTTTTCTGCCAATATAAAGATTCTCACCCGGTGGTACACCGAGTCACCTGGGGAGCATTTACAAAGTACCCAAGCCCTGTCCTTCCTCCCCGCTCCCCCCACCCCGTGAGAGAGAGAGGTCCCAGGGCCTCCCTAACCCTGCACTGTTAACCCATCACTTCTTATTACTTCCTCAGGGGTTTCTTATTACATTTTTCAAATATAGGATCCCATTTTTTTCCTTGATAAAATCCAGTGACCAATTTGGTTTTTAAACATTTTACTGTTTTATTATGGAAAACTTCAAATTAATAGAAAGTAAACAGTGTAGCATAAGGGGACGCCCCGCATCCTTCATCCACTCCAACAGTTATCAGCATTCTGCCATTCTCATTTTCTCTGTACCTAAATTATTCTTATTTTCTCACTAATTCAATTTTGTTTCATAGATAAGACAGACAGCGTAGTCTGTAAACTGAAAGTTGGTTATGTGTCCTTACAGGTGCCCTCCCCCATTATTGCATTTAATCTTCACAGCACCCCTAGGCGTTGTTACCCACATTTTATAACTGGAAACTGAAGCTCTAAGAAATTACACCCCAGCCCAAAGTCTCCCTGCAGGTTAACACTCAAGCAGGGATTCACACTCAGAGGTGTCTGAAAAGTGTGCTTTTCTCCCCCTAAGCTGCACCTTAGAAAAATCAGGACCATGAAATAGCGTGTGGTTAAATGTTTTACCGTGTGGATAGATGGATAGCTGTGTGGTAAAGCAAATGTGGTATAATGTTCATGTTAAAAGCTAGATGGTAAGTGTATGAATGTTCAATGTAAAATTATTAAAACTTTATGTTGGAAGTTTTCCACAACAAAACATTGAGGGGAAATCCCAGCAGAAGCAAACTTTGTCTTAACTGTCAAGCAGTGGGCCAAGCACACAGGCTGTTTTCAGATACCTATGCCGTTGACGTCTGCTCCAAAGAGACAGCTTTGAGACTTCGTCAAATTTTAATCTTGAAAACGGCAAGCCAGGGATAGAAATTACCTGGAGCTGTGCCTATCAACATTAACGGGTGGCATCTTAGAGAGCTCAGAAAACCAGAAGCAGAAGCGAAGGCTCTCCCAGGGTGCTCCCTCGACGGTGGGCCGACAGCTCAAGAGGCCTCCTCACTGTTGATGCTCATGAAAGGCCAGAGCCGGGGGTAATGATGGGCAATTCTCTTTTCCAGTTCTGGCCACTTAGATGGGATTCCATCATTTACCTAAAGGAACATTTTGCATACATACAACCTACCTGTTGAAGCTGTTCCTTTGCATGGAAGGACATAATCAATTTTTTTATACTGCATCAAAGCAGAACCACCCACACTGTCCATTGTGTGGTGCGGGCCCTGCTTTGATGGTGAGCTGGCCTGGCCAGGAACTGCGGAGCAGTCTGTGCTCTGTTGGGAGTGATGGTTGGAGGCAAAGATACCCTGTTAAGAGGATTTCTGAGGGCGTTTTGTTGCTGAAGGTACAAGGAGACCCTGGTTGGCCAGCAAGCAGGCCCCTCTCCTACTCCCTCAGAGAGCCCTGTGCATCCCCACAGCCCAAGCTTGGCTGCAATTGGCTTTACCCAACCCACCCTTCAGTGCTTGAAGCCAAGTGTTCCTGGCCAGGGAAAGCTCTGCCATTCTAGCTTTAGCCTTCTGTGGAAGAGGGAGCTGCCTAGAGATACAAAAAGCCACCTCTCCAGAATCTTCTAGCATCCCCACAAATTGTAAAACTATGGTCACTCCAGGAAACGAAGAAGTTTTCAATAACCTTTCCCACTGATTTCCAGAATTCTGATTGAATCTTGGAGCCCAGGTGACTCACTGATGTTCATACAGTTACACTGTCCTCCTTTCACTATACCCTGAGCAGAATTTAGAGCCCTCAAGAGGTATCTGTCTCACACATTAACTACTCCATCAGCTTCCTTCCTCCTGAAGTATCTAGGCAGTACACTGGAAGGAAGAGCAGGCTTTACAATCAGACCTGGACGTGAATCCCAATTTCCACCATTACTGACTGTGAGACTTGGGGAAAGTTGCCTCACTTATTTGAGCCTGCTCACAGGATTATTGTAAGGTTTGAACTTAGGTAAGTACATGAAATTGCCCAGCACAGTCTCAGGCCCAGCAATTGCCACTAAGCACTGGCTTCCTTTTTCTCTCGTATGTGTGGTATGTTGTAGATATGAGATGAGGGCTCACATCCTTGCTGTTTCCTGGCGGCGTGAACACATCCTGTCTCTTTGCATCTGTGCACCTCGTTTTATCATCTGAAAATGGCCTGCTTATTCTCCAAGACGCTGTGATTTTTTTTTTTAGTTATACTATCTAATTGCTCCATAGGGTGCTCCCTCAGATTGCAGGGGCACAGGAAGGTCCTGAGCATGGGGCAGCCCAGAAAGGGTGAGGGTTGGGGGCAAATGAGACTGTGGGATTGGGGAGATGAAGATAGGGAGAGCAGAGGAGAAATGATCAAAATCAGACCAGAATCAAAAGGTTGGCATTTCTAAAAAGTCAGATTGCCTCTTGGGAGTTTTGCCAAGGGTGGGCCCCAAGAGAGGTTTGGTTACCCCACACTGAGGAGTGTGGGCGCCTGCGCTTCCGGTCAGTTCCCCACAGGAAACCTGATTGCAGCTGGGCCCCACGCCGCTCTTCCTGGGGGAGGCTCACAGGCTGTCTGGGCTGAGTAGACCCCTGCAGCATTCCTACTCACACACTGGCACGGCTGCCTTCCTCCCGAGAATGATCTCCGTCATTTTTCATGTGGTCTCGCAACCCAGAGAGGCTGTTTGCTCAGTTTTGCATAACAAACATTGAATCTGTTGTTGGATTTGCAGTTTAGCCTTGCTCATCGACCTTCCGCCCTTCCTGTTGGTTCCTGACTGCTGCGGGCATCCAGGTCTTCGGGACGTACTTTCTCTCTTCTCCGCGGCTGCGGGGAGCCCAGTAGTTGGGCTTCCTTAAAGGCAAGCAGATGGAAGCAAGCAGGAGCGTGGAGGCAATTAGAGGATTTCTTCCTCCGAGCAGTGCAGGTTTGCTCTCTTTGGGTGTTTGGCTGTTCTTGCTCATTTTTCTTTTCCATTTGGGCTTTGTCAGGCTGTCAGCTTTTTTTCCAGGCTGTATTTTGCTGCTGGTTGCAGGAGCATGCAAAATGGGGTGACTTGGTTGCTTGTTGTTCAGAATCAAGCTTTCCACCCCAAGGTATGGATAACGCATATCCTGATGAGGAGGAGGAGGATGATGCTCCATATTTGTAAAATATTCTGCAACTTAAAGAATGCTTTCGATTACATCGCTGTGTGGTTTAGTCTGGACAGAGGCTCAGAAAAAAATGAAGGCATCTACTCACTCTGTTGGAGTCGGAGTTTTTCCTTGTCTTTACACCATCTCTGTAGTCAAACCACAAAGGGGAGAGTGATAACATGAAAACTGTAGCTTTCCACTTTATTCCTTTTCTCTTTCTAGTTTCAGTCAATCAGTTAAATATTGTTCAAACATTTATGAGCACACTGCTGGATTCTCTGACGGCATTTAAGTAATTGTAGCAGGCAGAGAGCTTCCAGTCTAGTTGGGGAAACAAGACCTCCAGCTGTGAGTTTAAGCAACAGTGCCCAGCACACAGAAGGTGCTCAGTAACTAGGTGTTGGATGAGTGGGTGAATAAATGGATGGATAACGTAACCCACCAAAGTCCTAAAAAGCAAGGAGAAGAGCTGGGGAGGACCTGAAAGGTGCACAGTCCTCGATGGAAACAGACACAGAGGTGATAGCACCCCCGGAGTGCCCAGGGGCCTGGAGCAAGAAGGCAAGAGGTCCCAGTACTCTTGGGGATTACCTGCGTTAGTGATTTGCCATCCGTCAGTGCAGCTGAATGATAGGAAACCATATAGATACAGACTGAGAAGAGTAAGCAAGGAAACTGTAATTCTCTGCTCTTAGGGGTAGGACAAGCATGAAAGCGGGAGGGAAGGAGGCAGGCAGACAGACAGACAAAAGGGAAAGATTGCTTGTAAAATTGCTGTTGGGAGAAATGCCAGCCAAGTCACCCCACTGTAAAAGTCTGTCTCTTGGACTTGAGAACCAACTATATTGCAGCCCTGTACTAGGAGCTAGGAGAAGGCAAGGGGGAGAATTAAAGAGATACGGGACTTGGCCCCAACCCTTTAGAGATCCCACCATGCACAGGAAACAGTGAAATGATGTGAATGCCCCACCCTACCATGATCAAGTGCAGGGATAAGCCAAGGAATTGTGAGACAGCGAGAGCAATGTAGGCCTGAGTTGCTGAGAAGAAGGCTTCTGAAGGGGTAAGACTAGAGTAGGGTCTGGCACACGGATGTGATGTGGGAACCGCATGGACGGTTGTGTGGAGATATGTACCATCCTGGGTGGAGATCATGTTGGGGCTGTGGGAGATTGATGGAAGAGCTGTGGGGACACTGGTGTGGAAGGCTTGGAAGCCAGGCAGTAGAGCTAGAGAGTGTTGCTGAATGAGGAAATAACATTTTGAAGGGGGTAAATGGAATTTTTGTTCACTCCCGCAATTCTCATTATGTCCTGCTACCCCAGATGCTGGGGTGGGGGCTCTGTGCTTTCCTTTGCTGATGGTGTGAGAGTAAGCTAAGGGAAGAAAACACCTCCTTGGGATGGGCACTGAAGCTTTGAAGTGTCTCCTGGGGGCACTGGTACGCTCCAGGCCAAATGGAGTGGTAGTCAGTCCTGTGGTAGAACAGGAAAAAGAATATCCTCCAGTATGGCTGTCAGTAGGACACTGTTTTTGTTGGTTGTTTCGGCTGCCATGAAACTGTACTTAGTGTGTGTGTATTTTGGAGGGCTGCGGAACTTTGTGCCATATGAATTCCAGGTATTTTCATTAAGATGAATTTTTAAAGGTAGTATCTACATTAATACACACCCTCCGGTCTAGAGTACTTAGAAAATACCGAAAAGCGGGGAGGACAAAATGAAAGTCACCTATTATTCCATCACTCAGAGATAAAAACATACATTATTAGTATTTTGTTCAATGTCCTTTCCCAGTGCAAATTTGGAATTTTTTAAATGCTTTCAAATTGCGCTTAATGTTTTTTTATGTAATTTTTTTAACTTGGCAATATGCCGTGAATATTTTTCTGTCAATAAATTTATTTTACAATATGATTTCAGAGCTGTATCCTATTCTATAGGAATATACCATAGTTTATGTAACCAATCAAATAAGAAACCAGTCTCCTGTTCTTGCTTATTTTGGGTGTTTCCAATAAATTAGGCTTTGAACACATTTTTAAAAATAACCTCATAATAGAGTATTTTCAGATAACCTTGTTTTCATTGAGTGAATTGCCCGGTCAGATCCAAGTGAATATAGAAAGTTCTCCACGAAGTTTTATCTCATTTTTATTATCACTTCATCCAAAATAATAACTAATCAACCCCTGAGTGGAAAAGAATTGTATGTGCCATAGTATGCTTCCCTAAGGATGTTAAAAACAGGAGCAGACCAAGCCCCATGCCGATGGATATACCCAAATATAGAATAAGAGTTTGGGGGATCTCAGTCGGATCAGGTGGTTCTTAGAATTTAAATGTCATCCTGGGCTTGATTGTAGTGAAATTTCAACAAAAAATGTTTTTAAGTAACCTTCAATATTATCTTCACATGGATGAGGAACTTTCTTAACCTTCTCTCTACCTACCTGTCTCTGTCTCTGTTCAAGACACCTGTCTCCTTCCCGATGTGGGACACCCTTTGGAGGGCTGGTTCCTGCTGACTTTATTATAGGCTGTGTAGAAGAGAAGGTGTCAACTTTGTTTTTCCTTTGAAGCAGAGTTTGATTTGCAGAGACCTGGAACTTCCTGTTTGTGTTTCTTTTCCAGTAATATGTGTGATTCACCACGATTCAAGGTAACCCCGTCTACAACGCCTTGTTTTTTTCAAGTGGAATTTTTCCATGGGAACTGTATAATAGTGAGGAAGCCTGTCCGTCTTCCATGAAATTATACTCCCTGCCACTCAGAGTTTCACAATATAATTAGGTTACTTGTTTTTCTTAATTATTTTTTCTCTTCCTATGCTCATCTGAGTGAGGTGTGTGGAAGAGTAGTCAATGAAGGTCAAGGAAAATAAGCACAGTGTTCTATTTTTTAAAAAATTGCTTTGTCTAACTGTTGCTGGTGCATAGGAACAGAATTTATCATATTTAACTACTACTTGGCAGTTTGCAAAAGACTTTTATCAATTCTGATAATTTATCTGTATTGCTCTTAGGTTTTCTGTGTAACCAATCATATCTATAAATAATCAAAAGTTTTATTTCTTCTTTTTCAATCTTTTATGCTTTATTTATTTATTTTTCTTGTCTTACCACTCTGGACAGGACCTGCAATACAGTGTTAAAAAGAAGTAGGGAGAGCACACATCCTTTGCTTGTTCTTGATTTTAGAGGGAGGGCTGCTAGCATTTCACCATTGATCATGATGCTTACTACTGGGATTTGGTTAATACTTTTTATTAGGTTAAGAAAGTTCCCTTCTGATCCTAGTTTGCTAAAAGTTTCTATTTTTTAAAATCACAGATAAGTGTTGAATTTTATTCAATGCTTTTTTTCTATGTCTGTTGATAAAATATCATACGGTTTTTCTCTTTCAATCTAATAATGAGAAATTATTGTCGGCAATTTTCTAAAGTTAAACCATCCTTGCATTGTTGGTAAAAATCCACGTTAGCCATGATATAATTTATGCACTGTTGGATACAGTTTGCTAATATTTTTTTAGGGTTTTTGTGTTTGTATTTCTATCTGAGACTGGCTATAATTTTTCTTTTTTCCTAATATCCTTGTCTTATTTTGATACTAAGTTTGCACTAGTGCTTTCCATTTTCTATCTGCAAAACTTGCCTCTTTTTTCTCTAAAACCATCTGAAACCTAGTGTTTTATTGGTTTTGTTTTTTGGGTGGAGGAAGTAGATTTTTAACTGATGAACCAGTTTATTTAATGGTTATAAGACTTTTCTCTGAAATTCTTCATTTCATTGAAATTTTCAAATTTAATCTCTGCTGAATCTATGGTTATGTTCTCTCTTTCCTTCCTAATATTATTATGAGCACCCTGTCTGTTTTTCTTGATCAATTTTGGTGGTCTATTTTATCTTTTCAAATAAACAGCTTTTCCTTTGTTAATCTTCTCTGATATATCTTTATTTTATGATCTTATGAATTTCTACCCTTTTTTATTCCCTTCTTCCACTTTCTTTGCATTTACTCTTGTTCACTTTCTTACATCCTGAGTTGGATATTCAATTTTCAATCCTTCTTCCTTCTAGAATAAGATTTAAGTATTTTCCTCTAAATACAACTTGAGGGAATCTGACAAGTTTTAATATGGAATATTTTCATCATCACTCAGTTCTAAGAATGTTATAATTATTTCTTATTTGATTCATGAGTTATTAGCAGTGTCATTTTAAATTGCTAGACAATGACAGTTTATTCATAATCGTTTTGTTTTGGGATCTAACTTGAAAAATCTATTGTTGTCAGAGAATGTTGTTTGTATGATATCAGTTCTACAAAATTTATTGAGACTTACTTCATGGCCTAGTATGTGATCAAGTTTTTAAAACATACATGAATTTTTTTTAAAAAAAAATGGATAGTCTCTGATGGAAGCTGGGGAGATAGACTAAATATATCTATTAGATTAAACCTCTTCATTGTGCTGTTCAAATCTTTTATGTATTTATTAATCCATCAGTCACTAAGAGAGGTGTTGGTAAAATTGCTCACTATGTCACTTTGTCCTTATAATTCTGATGATTTACTTTATACATGGTTGTTTCCGTTTCCCAGGAAGAATATTAAAAACTTTTCACTGACATTGTCCGCTTTATCTCAGAACATAGATTCCTTCCTTTGGCTTCTAAGCAACTATGAATTCAGCTTCTCAGAAGCCCTGACCTCAAGGCATTCATCTTCAGATTACCTTGTTAGCTTCAATACCATCGGCTATTTCGGGGGGAAAAAAAAGCACCATGAAATCCTAGAACTTCTGTGCTTGAAGGAACCTTAAAGTTCATCTAGTCCAACCAGTATCTGATTAGATAAATTCTATCAGAACATCTCTAGCATCAAGATATTCTCTACCATGTTTCGGAAGGTCTCATTATTAAAATGAGTCATAAGAAAATATTCTTCCATTTAACAACCCATCAGTTTTTTTAAAGACTACTTAAAATGTCTTCTTCTCTAAGCAAAACAGTATTTACCTTTATGTAGTAGTTTTTCCCAACGTAATTCCAAGTCCTTTCAATATCTTAATTACTGTTTTCTGAACAAGTTCTAGATTCTATATAGTCATGACTTGAAAGACTGTCAAATTATACACACACACCCACACACACATACTTATGGGTACACGTGTGTGTGTATGTATGTATGTATATGTATGTTTTTTTTTGTTTGTTTTTTGTTTTTTGTTTTTTAAGATTTTATTTTTTTCCTTTTTCTCCCCAAAGCCCCCCGGTACATAGTTGTATATTCTTCGTTGTCGGTCCTTCTAGTTGTGGCATGTGGGATGCTGCCTCAGCGTGGTTTGATGAGCAGTGCCATGTCCGCGCCCAGGATTCGAACCAACGAAACACTGGGCCGCCTGCAGCGGAGTGCGCGAACTTAACCACTCGGCCACGGGGCCAGCCCTGTATATGTATGTTTTAAGGAATACTTTCTTGGATAATTATTAAGGAAGTCCCTTGAGAAAATATCCTATATTGAGGCTGAAACTCGCTGGCACCATCATGTAATGATTTCTCTCTCTCAAGAGAAACAATTGAGAATGAGAGACCGTGACTCTTGCTTGTTGCTCTTAAGCCTGTAAACCAAGATCCATGTGGTTCTTTTCCTGAAGATCAACGGCCTGCTGCACAAGGCAGGAGTACAACGCATAGCAAAAAATTTCCTGTTAAAAAAAAACCAATTTGTTTAGAAATTATACTGGCTTACTTTTTATATTTCTAAAAGAGAATAGGGACAAGCTTGCCATTCATTCGCTGACATAAGGTAAATGTTATGTTTGGAAGTTCCAGAGTTCACAATTTGTATACAGAGGGAAGGTAGAAAGAGGTGTCAGAGATCTCCTCCCCCATGGGAATAGTACCCTATTGTGCTTGCAGGGGGCTGGCTGTAAGTCATGTGTACTCCACCCCCTAACCCTCATCCTCCTCTCCAACCATCAAGAAAGCAAACCCCAGCATGGGGCCCAGAACTGTCCAGACAGTTGAAGAGTCCCACCTTCAGACAGACAATGCAGT